TTTCGAACCCATAAAATGGTAACTCAACCACTGAATTTAAACAACTAGACCACAAGAACTTTTCTCCAAGCTTGGCCGAATTTAAATGATATTATTAGCTGCCGCAAGCCCAGCTAATAATAATTTTTTTGATATATATTTTTCATTTTAATTTTGGTAGATTTTTCAAAAATTAAATTAACCAAAATAATCCGACCAGTTCGGTAATTTGTTTTTTTTTTTACATTTTGCTAGATTATTTGGTGTAACCTACTTTGACACCCACTAACTAATTTTCTTTGACCCCAATAAACGAGAACTTGAAGCAAATGAAACCCCTCTCTTATTAATATTTGTTTTTAGTTTTTACTATTGCTAGGTCGAAACCCGCCTTATGCTGGAGGTATTTTTTTGAAATTTGTTTTATTTAAACAATCAAAACCAAAATAATATTCTTTACTATTGGAATCAATTAGTCTGTCGACCACAAGAGACATCAATCTCTCTTGAAAAAATTATTAGACAAAGTTAATTAAACACAAGTTACGAAAATTCCATGAAAATATAGAAATCGAAAAAGATGGACCAAACTTTGTTATGGGTTTTTTTAAATGAATAAGCTAAACAATTCATAAACATTGGTTAATATAATTTGGTTAGTGACTTAAAATTAGAATGTTCAAAGATAAACAGTTACAGAAGGACGATCCTATGGTTCTTAGCATTTTAAGGGAATCTTATCTTTCTCTTTGTCTTTTTCTTAACTTATATTTACCATTAAATGTTCTTGTAATAAAGTAGATCAAGCGTTTGAGCCGGCAGCATGAGATCAACTTCATTCAAAACATAAACCACAAATACAGAGTTAATTATCAACTTTTTGCTATGCTGAATTATATATTTTTATATAATAGATCACTAATAATAACCAAATTAATCAATAACATTTGCGATATTTCAGTCAAAATTTACAAACAACAAAAAGAGCATAAATCCAAAATAAGTCAAATTGCAAATGCAAACTTCACTTGGCTACACATTTCTATGGTTAGAACATAGAATAAGTTGACCATTTTTCCTTTTAGGGATTTCATTTTTGAACAGAAACTAACAAAGCTTTGCACTTTATATGCAGATGATCAAGTGAAGCAAGATACATGTATAATAGGAACATAGAGATTCAAGTTTGACCATACATCTTGAAGTAACAAGACGGGATAATAGAACAAGTGTGAGATTACAATCCTAAGAGTGTAATGTTCTTTACTGTTGTGAATTTCTTGAATTGAAATAAAAAAAGAAACGTAAACCAATTTAGCAATCGTAAACTCTTATGAATAAACTATGATTCTAATTGTGCTTGTGTACCACAAATAATTTCAACAGCAATAATCTAAGGTTTTTGGAGTATAATATTCACTGAAACATATTTACATATATCACAATATAAAAACAAATCTAACATTTATAAAAATTTAAACATATACAAAAACATAAAATAATAAAAACAAATACAAATATTAACTACACAGTACATTTTTTTGTAAAAGTAAGATATAAAAATTATTTATTAGTGTACGCATATATAAACTAATAAAATAAAAATAATTAATATACGAGCAAATGTAAAATAATATATGAAGAACCTCTTACATTTTTACCGTAAAACTTATATGAAAACAAAATTAATTTACAAAAGCAACACGCGGTGTAAACTACTTGTTAAATTCACTTCATGCATGTTGTTCTCGAAAAATCATTTGATGTCAAACAACTTTTTTAAAAAGAGGGTATTTGTTTTTTATTTTTGTAGATATTGAATTATTAAACAAATAAGAAATTTGTTTATCATTATCAAAAAATTTAAAATCATTATGTGTATCTATAAAATTGACTACAATTTTTATACTAATTATATGTCTATTGGAAAGTGAATTTTTTTGAAGAACTATACTTAGAAAATAATATTGAAAACAAAGGCAAAACTATAGCAATACATAGTCATAATGGTTTTTTTTTCAAAAATATAATAATAACTAGTTTAGTGATTCTAATTTTTAAAACATATAAATAATTTCTAATTAAATATATAATGAACCCGGTCAAAAACTTTGCTAGATCTGCTACTGTTATGAACTGATAAATTATGACTTCAATAAAGATTTCATATTTTAACGTACGAATGCAAAGCTGGGGATGTATTCAGAGCCGTGCCAAGGAATTTTGATGCCATAAGCAGAAAAATATGGTTTAATACATAAATAATATAAAATAAACATAGTAATATATATATTTTTAGAACTTATAACAAATCTATAAAACTTTAAGCAAAACTTATAAAAATTCAGTTCAAAAAAAAGTATTTATCAAACAATGAGAGCAAATATATTAATATAGTATAAAACAAAAATTATAGAAACTAGGTTGATCTTAATATGTACATAGTTTAGCAATTTGTGTTATTGTTGCAAAACAAAATATAATTTGGTAATAATAAAAATTTAATATAATTATGTTGATATACAAAAAGTATATGTAGGACGTCAATAGTGGTTAGTTGTGGTTACGGTTAACAACACTAACCACTATGAACCGTATCCATCTCTTTACGGCTTATGAGAAAAAGCCAACGTCCAGCCGCCGTTCGCACCAAATAGGATTACGGTATATGAGAAAAAGGAGGATGTGTCCGGAAGGGTTAAGCCTTAACCGTTAAGGTATGTCTAACTTTTGTTTCCGATAAAAAATTTATCAAAGTACTAAAATATGTTTATTACATTCAGATACATTTTAGAAAGGATGATAATGTTTTCTTGGAGAAAGAGTAGTGCGATCGATATATATATCGAAAATTATATAATGGACGAGAAGATTAAGAATAATTTGGAGGAACTTGAAGAAGCATATGTAGTATTACTGGTTATTTTATTATTTTGGTACAATAAATAAAATTTTTGATGTAACAACTTTCTATTTGGAATATTACCAATAACTTTACAAATAATTGATGTTTCTCTCAAAAAAATTGAGAATTTTTGTAACTTTACCAAATAACATTATTAGAAAATAGCCAAATTTTACAAGAAAATTAAGTAACTAGTCATACGTCAGAAAAGTTGGGTAAATAACTCTTTTTGTGGTGGGGTAGGGGTATGGAAAAGACCAATTAACCTTCTGAATATATAGTTTTTACAAGATAATGTATCTGTTTGTAAGTGGTGGTGGAGATCCGGTGAAAAAATAGATCCGACGGTGGAAATGATATGGTGGTCTTGGTCGTCATGACGAAATTGGTTATAGAGGAGGTGATGGTGGTTTCGCAGGAAGCGGTGGTGGTGGAAGATTAGAAAAAAAAAATAGAGCCGATGGTGGAAGGGATACGGTGGATATGGTGGTCATGAAGGATGTGGTTATTGAGAAAGTGTAGTGGTCGCGGTGTAAACGGTGCTAGTGAAAGATTTGGGAAGAAGGTGGAAGAAACACCATAGTGGTTTAAAGAAAATAGATAAAGATATAGATTTGATGGGAAAAGAGAACACAGAAAGGTCCGACAATGGAGATTCGAAAAGAAAATTGTGAAATTATTAAAAAATATCGTGAAATATAGAGAAATTACATGAATTTATCATGTAAATGGCATGTAACATGAATAAAAATATGATTGCTTGAAGTAAATAAAATTAGCATGTGATATTATCATTTGTTGGAAAAAAATATCATGTCATTTTTAAACATAGCATGACATCTCGAAAAACATAACGTTCGTAGTATAATTGCTTGAAGTAATTAGAAATAGCATGTGATATTATCAGTTGGAAAATATATCATGTCGTTTTTAAAAATAGCATGACATTTCAAAAAATATAATATGTTAATAAAAATAGCACGAGGAGGTAATTAAGCAATAACAGAGGTGTATAAAGGCGGAGAAAATCTGGGATTTCAAAACAGCGGATAATATTTAGAAATACTGATTCAACATTGGCGTTTTGAAACATATGAGCATGATTCGATTCTGCAGAAATGACGTTGTTGTTAGTGGTGAAACTTCCTATTGAGCAAAAAATAATGAGATATATTTTAACTTAGCTGAAAAAGATTGATTATGGGTTCAAGCATTATCGAAGCAAAGAAGACGAAGGTGAAGACTGAAGAGAGTGGCATCAGAAGAAGGATTTAGAGAGAAGCCAAAATGAGGAGAGAGGAATGAAGAAAGAATTTTTAAAGGTTGTACATGTAATTTACTTACTCTTTTCGACAAGAAACTATCCACCATGGTTAGTTTCTTTATTTTTTTTAGTTTCATGGCTAGTTAGTACAAATTCCCTAACATTTACTTAAAAATAAGTTCTTCATTAGTAAAAAAAAAGTCATTGATATATTTACATGATCATGAAAACTAATAAAGTTTTAAGAAGGAAAATAAATAAATAAACATAATTTACATATCTACTTAATTAAATATTTATATATGTAATTAAATATTTGAAATTTCATAATATATATTTATGGTAAGTATATTTAATATTTGTATATGTTTGTTTTTTTTAATCTATTTGTAATTAATTGAATTTTTTTATTTGTTAGTATTAAATATATATGCTTTGGTTAGTATTATACCAAACTGTTGTCGTAACTCAGCGGTGGAGAGTCTCTTATGAGTCCAATAGTGGAGTAGTTCGATTCTACATGGACGCAGAATTCCTATCATTATTTTCTTATAAAATGACGACGTCTTGGAGTTTTCAATACGACATCGTTTTGATTTAACAAAGAGTCTAACGGAAAGTTAACTCCGTTAACAGAAACTTAGAGACATGTCCGAAATAACTAAATCAAAAAAAATTGACCATTTTGTCAAAAAGTCAAACTAAACTTTATGATGTAAATGACATTTCTAAAATTTAAGTTTTTTTCGTCCCAAAGTTAAAAATTCGCACATTTTTGTGACATTTCCCCTCATAACATTTACTTAAAAATAAGTTCTTCATTAGTCCAAAAAACAAAAGAAAACGTAATTTACATATCTACCCCTCAAAAGAAAGTCAAATTACTCAACAGCGTCGTTTCTTCTTGTTCATCGCCAATCGCCATTAATCGCGGTGCCTCTTCTCTCCTCTCGCCGTCTCTTTGGACCGGAGGTTTCCTCCACCCTTTGACAATTCCGTCATCGATTGACCTCGAGCTCCGAGATCTGATCTTCAATTTGATGCTCTTCCATTAGTCGGAAAGTTGCTTTTGATTTCTCTGGTGGAAGCAACTATGGGGTCGTCTTCTGAGATCATCGATATCGCAACTAGTGCTCGGAGAATTGGCGTAGATAATCGTATTTCTCTCAAATTTTACTTCAGGATCGCTGATAATATCCTCAAACAGGTTTCTTCTTCATACTCAGACTTTGAATTTTCGATTTAAGGTCTTTGATTAGGGGTTTATATTTTGACCTTATTCTTGTGATTGATGATCGCAAACTTTTTATTTCTCTCTTTCATGAAATTATTGTTGGCTCAAAAGAGTTGAATTTTGAATATTTCCAATGTTTTTGCACCATTTTGTCACACTTAACGTTTGATTGTTGTTGAGGTGATATTGATTCTGTGTATTTGGCATATGTTCTTCGAGTTCTGTAGTTGTTTCCTCGAGTTCGATTTGAGATAGTTTGCATATGATATGATCATGGTGGTCACAGAAACTGTTTTTGATGAAAAAAGAAAGAGAGGAGAAATAATGGAATTAGTTTTCATTCTATGAAAGGTGAAAAATCTTGTGGAAGTATGCGCTTTAGCCCCTTGACATTTGTGCTTGTATTGTCTCAGTGGAATTTTGGATATCAGATGTTCTTTTTTTGAGTCTTTGTTCTTAGGTTCCTTAGTAGTTTAAGAACTGCATCTTGGCAGAAAAAGTCTATATTTTATTTTGGATGTCTTTAACTTGATATTTAGTTGTTGGCTTGTTGTTTCTCTGTAAGTCATTGTTTTTTTTGTCTAAGTTCCTAATCATCGGCATAAATGTTTTTAGGCCGACATATTTCGGGCAGAGAAGAATGTTATTGATTTATATGTCATGCTTCTGCGGTTTTCAAGGTGAGGATTATTCATCAGAATGAAAAGAAGCTGAAACTTATTACTTTTTGTAGAAAGAATTAGATCCTAGTTTTTGAAATTAACTATTTTTTTTTTTTTTTGGTTTTCTCTAGCTTGGCTCTCGAGACTATACCATCGCATCGAGATTACAGAACATCTCTAAAAAGCAACAAAGAGTATTTGAGAATGGTAATAAATATATGTCCTTATGATCTTTTTTGTCGGTCAATCAGTAGTTTGATATGAGCTTTTATCTGTTCTAGAGACTATTGGATGTCTTGACGGAGCTGGAGAAGTTGAAACCAGTTGTACAGAAAAGGATTGATGAACTGTATCCAAAGCTCAAACCTCGATATAATGTACAAGCTCATCCATCAAATGGTTCCCTAGGCTGGTCTTCGGCCGTGAAACCATCATTAAATAGTTATGATCCTGCAAAGGTGTGCCTAATGCTTTACTCTTGTTAGTCGCATATGCCTTGGTTACATATTTGAAATCAATTTGCATTGTTCTCCGCTCTTGTTTCATTAACTAGTAGATGAAATTATGATATTAAATTTTAAGCTGCAGTAGATAAACATACCCTGCACCTTTCTACATTTTGTTTTTGTTCGGCATAGGTAAGAAATCCTCCTGGACATAATTTTGGCTACATGGGTTCCAGGGGTCAACAATTCTTGAACGCTGCACCACTTGAAGAGCGTTTCCGAAAGATGTACGTCTTCAGTTTTATTTCTGGAAGCTTCTCTCAATGAAAGATCTTCGTTGTATCTCTCCCTGTTTTTCTGGTCTCATGGTCCTGCCTTATAGATTTTATTAACTGCATGATTTACCTAGGTCGGTGAACTTCCGACCAAATGAAGAAACCCTTTCCAAGCATTCTATCTTGGGTCCAGGTGGACTAAGTGCACAGTGGCAGCCACCAAAGTATGATACAAAGGTATCATCACGTGCTTGCTTTTTTCTTTTTAATCCACTTCCTCACACCAAGCTGATGTTTTTTTTTGTTATATGATCCAGGTTCAATATCCAAGCAATATAGATTTTTCGCCTGTTGTAATCCCAAGGTTAGATCATCTAGCTGATTTGATGCAAAATGTACATTTTTATTCTGCATCTCAATATTGTTTGCTTTATTTCTTACATATTCTACTCTCTCCCTTCAACTTCTTTTGCTTGACTATCTCACGCCTATGTATTATCCTTTCCTTCTGATGCTATCTATGGGAAACAGCTTCCAACAATTTGTGGACAGCAAACCAATGATAACGAATGGCAGTAACGATGAACCTGAAAGGCCAATTGTGGAGCCAAGTGTTGCATCTAGTGAAAATATCCAGAAAAATTACACTGAAGAGCTTTCTTCCATGATTTCTTTCGAAGAGCCAGAAAGCGTTAATGATAATAATCTCATTAGGCAACCTTCACCACCTCCGGTGCTAGCAGAAGTTCAAGACTTGGTTCCTGCTTTATGTCCTGAAGTTAGAGAACCGGAATGTATTATAGAAAACTCTCTGCCAGATGAGTCTCTACGGTCGGAGTCTCCTCTTGAACTTCATATTGTAAGTTTGCTATATTTCTCTTATCTTTGTTATATTAGTCTGATTTATCATGAAGGATTTATCGTGTTCTATAGCTTATCCTATGTAACACTACACTCGTGGGGATGTGTCTAATAAACACATATATCATATATAGTCTATCTAACCATGGGATTTCAACACATATATGTTTAGTTATCCTTCTGGACTTTAACGTAGGACTAGGGGCTAAATCTATTGCTACATTGTATAAAAATAAGATGAGACTGAGAATTAGTTTGCAAACAACCACTGTCTCTTTGTTCTGTTTCCCAATTTTCCTCATAATTTGATATTTCACCTTTATTTGCAGGCAACAACAATGATGGATACCTTTATGAGGCTTGCCAAGTCAAACACTAAAAAGAATTTAGAAACGTGTGGTATTCTTGCTGGCTCACTAGTAAGTCGTTATATTTTCCAAATTCAAAAATGCAATATTGACATCTAGCTCATGAAAATGGATCAGCAATAATGATTTGTGAATCACTTTTGTGCAGAAAAACAGAAAATTTTACATTACAGCTCTCATCATACCAAAGCAGGAGTCGACATCTGATTCGGTAAGCGCAGTCTTGTTTTGTTATATCAACTCAGTTTCTTCTTCATATACATTCACTTACTTCTTGCTCGCTCTTTCTCAGTGTCAGGCCACAAACGAAGAGGAGATATTTGAAGTACAGGACAAGCAATCCCTTTTCCCACTTGGATGGATTCATGTGAGTAAAATTTGATTTTATTTCACTAGCTTCAACTGCTTTATGCTTGAAGATCAATTCTTCGGTAATATCATTCTTCTCATATATTTCTATACTGACTCGTTAATCACTGTCTCCATTTGAACAGACGCATCCGACACAGTCTTGTTTCATGTCATCCATTGATGTTCACACACACTATTCATACCAGGTACGGACAAAATCGTTCTAATTATTTTCAAAAATTATTGCATATAATACATATAGAACGAAATCAACAATGGAATTACTGTTTTCAGATTATGTTACCAGAAGCCGTGGCAATCGTTATGGCGCCACAAGACTCTTCAAGGTATTAACCAGAAATTTCAGAAATATGAAATTATTCGAGAAAGTAGAATGCCTAAGAATTTTTTATTTTTTTTAATGATTTAGGAATCACGGAATATTCCGGCTGACGACGCCGGGAGGAATGACAGTGATAAGGAATTGTGACCAGCGTGGGTTTCATGCGCACAGTTCGCCGGAGGACGGAGGACCAATTTACAATACGTGTAAGGAAGTTTACATGAACCCTAATCTCAAGTTTGATGTCATTGATCTCAGATAGCATCACTTGCGCTTTTGAAAGTGAAACAATGTTCTCAAAGCCATTTTCTCTACGATTGTAACAATTATGTATCTGTTTATATCCCGATTTTAATATGATTTATGTAAGTTTTCATGTACAATTATATGTTTACAAGTCTTACATGTACAACTGAACTAAAATTAAGATACAAGAGCAAGTGATTTGTGATAAAGTTATCGTTGTGTCACCATCTATTCAAACCTACATAATATTATTACCAACAACAACAAAAGTAAAGATCACATCGAGAAAATTTGAAAAATGTTGGTGGAAAACAAAACTGGTGATTTTTCTTAGTGAAAAAAATGGGGGACATGTTGTTCTATTTCTAACACAAAATTTTGTTTATGTTAATCATAAAATTATTAAATAACTTAACTAAGAATGGGTCAGGTTGGACTTGGCTTTTTAACTACCCTTTTAACAGATGTTTAGTGTTGGTCAATGGTCATACCTTATTCCATAAATAAACTTCTCTATATTGTTCTGTATATTAAATCAGGTTTAAAATATTGAAATATATGTGCACCAATCTCTGGTTTGTATGACATTGGTGTTACCCACATCTTACTTATCTCTGAATTGGATGTAACAAGTCTTTTATATGTCAACAAAATTTGATATTGAGGCTTCGAATGGTTTTGTTGCGGATGGGGCGGACAAAACCGTTTTACGTTTACCATTTAACTAAATAAAGAAATCAGCCGTTGATCAAGTACGGACCGGTTGTACAAAGAAATGAACTTGGTCCGCAGGGGACTATTGTCCGCCCCAAAGATAGGATATACTACTACGCTAATGGTTTAGTCCGCTTCTTAAGATAAATATGACCACTTAAGTCTGATTGTGTCATCTCATCTGTCATCAAAGATTGTCTCCAATTCAAAATATTGAAGTGACCGGAAAAGTTTGGTAGTAACACCAAAAAATGTGTACAAAGTTCGCAAAAAACACACCGCGATTTGTAGACAAAATGAAAACAGGAAAACGAATTGATTGAAACTCTAATAATCTCTTGCTGCTGTGACCATCTACTATTAAAATGTGTACAAACACAACCCCCACAATTTGTAGACACAATCAAAAGAGAAGAAAAAATTGATCGAAACTCTGAACATCTCTTATCATCTACTTCTTGTTCTTCTTCTTTGTCTTCGTCTTATCTTTCGAATGGCGTAAGATCGATCCTAACCCAAATGTAGATGGACCATTGAGGACTGGAATGATCGAAAAGCTTCCTCCTCCTTCACCTTTCTTTCCTGCGTGCTTTTGCGGTCTGAACTGATACGCATTGCAACAGATAGAGGAAGAAGACGACCGAGAAGAGGGCCTATGGTTGTTAACATCTCTCAGCATTGCTCTCTTAGAATTAGTAACCGAACCTGTAGAGTTGCTTCTCGTGAGCCGAGGAAACGAACAGATGAGACTCTTCTTTATGTCGCAGTTTAGGCTCGAGCTTCTCTTGAAACTCCAAAACGATTTTGAAGACTTCTCTGCTTCTGAGTCAGAGTTTGCTCCGCTCGCTCTCCCGTTGGTTTCCTTTTCGCTGTGTTTTGTGGGCAACGGTTGTGGCGAGAGAGGAGATGGAGAAAGGGAGGATGTAATGGGAGGTAGTTCGTACTTGTAGAGACGTTTTGGCACGGTCGAAGCTGCAGTTACATGGAAAGGAAGGATCATGCCATCCGCAAAGATCTCATCCGCTGGTGAGGAGTCTCCTGGATCAAAGTTGTTTGAGATATGGAACTCGAAGTCCGAGTTTGATGAATCAAGAAGAGTTTCATCTCTTCGGATAAGGCCTGATGGTTCTATTACAGGTGGGGGTGCTTTATCCGATTGACCAAGATCACTCGAGAACGAAATCCGCTGAAGAGCCTCTGTGCAGATCATAGTTTGGAAAGATAAAAAAAAAAAAGTCAAGTGAGTGAAAAATGATCTTCAAAACAAAGCTTTTAGAAGAAGAATGGAAGTTGAAGTTTCGAATAGATGTCATAAGTTGGTGGGAAGAAGTTGAAGCTATTCGAATAAAATAATGGAAGACGTAATCTGTCTAAAGATTGTGGTGAGCCACTCACTACTAGAGGAAGCAATATCATAATACTTAAAGAGGTATTTGTACAGGGCTTAAATAAGTATGTTACCGTTACTATTGAGGGTCCTGATGGAGCTCTTTTAGTTTCACACCTATGAACCTGGATTTGTAAACAGACTTATTGAGGTGACTTGAGGATATCTTACATAGATTCTTGTCTGAAACCTGTGAAGTCATCAAACAACATATGATAGCACAAATATTGTTGTGTAATCAGATTTAGATTTTGTTTCAACCACTGGCCAAAACAACAGATATGTATGCATCACGAATCCGCGTCAAAACGCAAGGTCCTAAACTTCAATGATAATCAAGTAGTCTAGGCTCTAGATATTCAATAAAGAAACCATCTTTAACCTCAAAGATGAGAGATATTGTGTACAAAGAAACCTGTTCCAGCCCTCAACAGACATTGCCCTATGAAACAAGCAGCATGTTCTTGACATTGAGGAAGCGAGCCGCGAAACATACTCGAGAACAAGAAGTTTCTTATGTTAAAAATCTTTAGCCATCACATACCAGCAATGTCAACAACAATAAGAGTAGAGACTATATGAACAAGATTCAAGAAACAAACAGTTAGAGATTACAATTAGACTGGTGATGAATTTGTTTACTAAACTAAACATCATGAATGAAACTCCGGTTATCTGCTTCACGAACCGGAACATGGCTAAACTTGAGAGACAATATTAAAGCAACTGCATTACTAAAAAACAAACAGCTGGAGATTACAATTAGTAAATGAATAATGAGATTCCCAGTAATATGCTTTACAACAAGAAACCAGAAAATTGAGAATGTCTCAAAGTAGAACAAGAGAGAACACAAAGCTGATGATACATTACATTTTATCCTAAAGTAAAAACCTTTAAAGCTGTTTCCTAAGCTGCTTCAGGTCCATTATATGAATCAATTGTCACTTCTTCTTCATTCAACCACAATCCTGGAAAAATCGTCTGCAAAAAACAAAAGAATTTAGTAATTAATCATTCAAATAATTAATTTAGTAAACCAAAATTAATCAAAACTTACATTCAATTTCTTCTGAACAAGCCTTGGTCTCTTCTTAGGTCTCTTTGGAGGTTTTTTCCCAAAAGCAATGGAGAAATCTTGTTCAATTTCATCTCTCAACAACGAAATAGACAATTTCGATTTCTCATTCTTATTATCTCTTCCATCTTCATTATCGATGATACTTCTCTTCTTAACGCCAATTTCAATCTTCGCCGCTGATTCATCTCCAGGTTCACTACACGCAGCTCTTCTCATCCTCAGATTCCATGGCCGAGCCGCCACAACTACCTCACCGTTCTTCGCTCCTCCTCCTCCTCCAGCTATGGAGACGGATCTGTTGGTGGCTGCATGATCGGGAGAGGAAGAAGAAGGAGGAGGAGATGGTAGATTGACGCATCTGAGGAATCTCTGTTGACCCCAACGGAGATGAGGTAAAGAGAAGTTGTGGAGGCGTTTCGATCTTTCAGGAGGTGGTGGCTCCATTGTTACAGCAACAACTTCTTCTTCTTCTTCTTCTTCGTCGATTTCGATTTTTGTTGAGAGCTTCGAGAGAGCAGTTCAAAGTTTTTTCGTATTTATTCTCTCTTGAGTTATTTTATTTTTATTGTCGAAATATTTTGTAACGTTGTGCGATTTATATACAACACAAGTTAGTCACGTAGACGAGTTCTAAACCAAAAAAAGGAAATTTCACAAAAAAAAGCAATAGAAATTGAAATGTTTTTAACATTATAATTGGTCCTAATTTACGCATTTTTTTATTTTGAAATGTTATTTTATCAAAAAACAATAAAATAGAATTTCTATTTTATCATAGTAACTAATGTTTTTAACATTAAAAAATGTAAAAATCTGGAGGTAAATCATTGAACATTGAAATTGATATGTTATTAACATTAAAATTGGTCCTAATTTATGAGTTCTTTTTGGAAATATTTTTACGGAAAGTATTGTGCTGATGGATTTGTTTTAGAATGTAAAAACATTGTAATATAACATAACATCTTCATTCATATAGAGAAGTGACACCATCAGAATAAGTTGAAATGTTACTAAGACGGCGCCAACATAGAATTTCATAGTTTTAAATAATATTACTTTTAATAAAAAAAACGAGATTCCGTAATTTTAGTGCAAATATCTATTTTAACACTAAATAATAATAAATCTATAAAAACTAGTATGACATAATTTATAATACAGTTGAAACGTTTTTGAATAAAAATAAATGACATGATTTTTCCTACAAAAAAAAATGACAGGATTTTAGTGTATTAATTAATAGTTATGGTTCTTTTAGATTTTTTATTTGTATTGGAAATTTGGATTTCCCATTATTAATTTGACAAAAACGACTTTCATGAAAAGCCCACTATTTTCTACTAAACCATTAAAGCCCATAAAGCCCTTTTCTCTTTCATCCCTTCCGTCTTCCCTTCTCCGCCGAGATCGCCAGTTTCACGACGCCGATCAGCTTCAATTCATGGCTCCTTCCAATTCCCGACCAAATCTTTAAGCCCTGCGCACTACTTACCAGGATCTCTGCAAAACCACCAGAGTCAATGTCTTCGTCTTCCACTTCTATTATGGACAACTTATTCCAACGAAGTCTCGAGGATCTGATCAAAGGCTTTCGTCTCCAGCTTCTCGGAGAATCCAATTTCATTTCCAGAGCCTTAGAAGAAATCCGCCGCGAGATCAAATCCACCGATCTCTCCACTAAATCCACCGCTCTTCACAAACTCTCTTACCTCGCCGCACTTCACGGCGTCGACATGTCTTGGGCGGCGTTTCACGCCGTCGAAGTCGTGTCCTCTTCACGATTCCAGCACAAGAGGATCGGTTACCAAGCAATTACTCAATCATTCAACGATCAGACCTCGGTTATGCTTCTGATCACTAACCAGGTGCGTAAGGATTTGAATAGTGCTAATGAATACGAGGTTAGTCTAGCTTTGGAATGTTTGTCTAGGATTGGAACTCATGACCTAGCTAGAGATTTGACTCCTGAAGTGTTTACTCTCTTGGCTAGTAGTAAATCTTTCGTTAAGAAGAAAGCAATTGGAGTGGTTTTGAGGGTTTTTGAGAAGTATCATGATGCGGTTAATGTGTGTTTTAAACGTCTTGTCGAGAATTTTGAAAGCTCTAATCCGCAGATTCTGTCTGCTGTAGTTGGAGTTTTCTGTGAGCTTGCCACAAAGGATCCTCAATCTTGTCTTCCTTTAGCTCCTGAGTTCTATAAAGTATTGGTTGATTCAAGGAACAATTGGGTTCTGATTAAGGTTCTTAAGATATTTGCTAAGTTGGCCTCAATTGAGCCGAGATTGGGTAAGAAGGTGGCTGAGCCGATCTGTGAACATATGAGGAGGACAGTGGCAAAGTCTCTAGTGTTTGAGTGTGTTAGAACTGTGGTGAGTAGCTTGAGCGATCACGAAGCAGCTGTGAAACTTGCGGTTGCTAAGATCCGGGAGTTTCTGGTGGAAGATGATCCAAATCTCAAGTATCTCGGTCTTAACGCCTTGTCCATTGTTGCTCCAAAGCATTTGTGGGCAGTTTTGGAGAACAAAGAAGTTATCGTCAAGGCTATGAGCGATGAGGATCCGAATGTTAAACTCGAGGCATTGCATCTCTTAATGGAGATGGTGAATGAAGATAATGTATCGGAAATCTCCAGGATTCTTATGAATTATGCACTCAAATCAGACCCATTGTTCTGCAACGAGATTATATTTTTTGTCTTATCAGCATGCTCCAGGAATGCATATGAGATCATAGTTGACTTTGATTGGTATGTGTCTCTTCTTGGTGAGATGGCTAGAATCCCACATTGTCAAAGAGGGGAAGAGATTGAGCATCAGTTGATCGATATCGGTATGAGAGTCAGAGATGCCAGACCGCAGCTAGTCCGTGTTTCTTGGGCACTTCTCATTGATCCTGCACTACTCAGTAACTTGTTCTTGCACCCGATATTATCCGCAGCTGCGTGGGTTTCAGGGGAATATGTTGAATTCTCTAAGAATCCATATGAAACTGTGGAGGCGCTTCTGCAACCACGCACTGGTCTCTTGCCACCCTCCATAAGAGCTGTCTACATACATTCAGCTTTCAAAGTTCTTGTCTTCTGTCTCGGGTCTTACTTCTCGTCTCAGGAAACCACTTCGTCATCCTTGGCTCAGGAGTCAAGTTCTGGTTCTTCGTCTATGAATGCTTTCACACATGGATCTATATTGAATCTGGTGAATGTGATTGAGCGTGATTTGGGGCCGTTATCTGAAACACATAATGTGGAAGTGCAGGAGAGAGCTAAGAATGTTTTAGGATTCATCGGTATGATAAAGCAAGAAATAGCTGAGAAATTAGACCTCCAAGACAATGAAACAGAATCTTCTAGAGTCACGGCATTCATGGAAGATGTGTTCTCAGAAGAGTTTGGTCCTGTTTCTGCAACTGCACAAGAAAAGGCTGGTGTACCGGATGGGTTAGAGCTGAAAGAGAATCTCGTGGATCTGGAAGAGATCTGTGGGGAATTTCTTAAACCCGTGGAATCTGAGTCGGTTTCATACACAGACAAGATCAGCTTCTCTATCTCCAAACTCAGAATCAGAGATCAACAAGAAGCCTCTTCATCTTCATCTCCTCCAGATGAAGCTTCATCTCTGCTAGCTGAACACCGCAAACGCCATGGCATGTTTTATCTTACTTCTCAAAAGGAGGATCCAGATAGCAACAGCACGCACAGCGATTATCCTCTGGCAAATGAATTAGCGAACGAGATATCCCAGGATCCATTTAACCCCAAGAGAAAGCCGAACCAATCTAAACCGAGGCCTGTAGTGGTGAAACTAGATGATGGAGATGAATCAAGAATCACTCCTCAAGCAAAAAAAAATATACAGACTGCTAAGGACGATGAATCTTTGTCCCTAGCGATCCAAAGCGCTCTTCTGGTAAAGAACAAGGGAAAAGAGAAAGACAGGTATGAGGGAAATCCGAATTCAGGACAACAGGAAAAAGAAGAAAGCTCGAGAATTGAAAATCACCAGAACTCAGAGAATAAGAAGAAGAAGAAGAAAAAGAAGAAGAATGGAGAGAGTAGTAAGCACAACTGCACAAATCACGATGGCGAAATGAAGTAGCTTCTGCTTCAGAACAAGTTTTAATCCCAGATTTTCTCTTATGAGTGAGTGAAACAAGTTTTAATCCCAGATTTTCTCTTGTGATTGAGTGAGAAACCAGTTTATGTTCTTTTAGAATCTGTTTATCTTCATACACGGAAACCAAACAAAATGTGTTGTGTAATTCTGTGTATAGTAATTTATGTATTGGTTTCTGACTTTTTGTCATAATTTGTAAGAGTAGAGAGATCCGATGAAACATTTTTCACTCGTATATATATATATATATATATTTTGAACAATTCTAAAGTATATTTATACCATATTTTATAAGATGGAAAACATAACATTCAAGCATGATTATGATCAGCATCATCACCCAATATTATTCTAAACATTTCTGACGAAGACAAGACCCACTTTAACTAGTAACTAACCCACTTATAATCAGCGAAACTTGTCACTAACTAATCATGATTAACAAACATTTCCTTAACACTTTGGGGAAGCAATCTTGCAACTGCTGGAGATTTTCCTGGCGTTAGGAGAGCTATTGTATTGGCGGAGGGTAGGGTTCCTCATGTACCCACAAAGGCATGGCTGCTGCTCTCTCAGCTTTGCGCAGCAGGCCTCCGATGGCGGGGAAGATGAGGTCATCGCCGCCGCACATGAAGCTAGCTGCATCGGCGAGCACGTCACCCCTTCTGCCACCGGGATTTTGGCCACCGTCAAAAGGAGAATCGCAGCTGCGAGAGCTAAAACGGAAACCCACATCATCTTCACCATTTTTCGTCTTCGTTGATTCTCTGTTTGTGTTTGTGGTTGTTCTGTTTTCAGTATGTGTCTATAAGCTATCACTTGATTCGTTTCACACGAAATACATTTTCAACTTTGTGATGCTTCAAATTATAATTGGAAGGACCTTAGCTTGAGTTTAATGACACACTTCATATAGATACATACATACATTAATTATTTCCACACCTCATCATCATGACACCTACTAATGTTTACTTCAAATTTTCTCTACAATACGGTCAAAATAGTTCACTGTTTCCCAATATATTTTCACTTCTATTTCGATCGTGTATTTTTTAAATGATTTGTAATAGTTCCGAATTATCAGAAACCTTACCCAAGGTAACAAAGCATATTTCCATTTTCATACAGAATGGCTGCAGGGCATATATATATATATATATATATATTTCTTAATGAAAAGTCAATAAACTCCTTGTTAAATTCGATGAAGATTTTTTTTCTTTAATTTAACTACAATAATAAGAGCCGGGAGTTTATTTTTTTAAGATTTTTATTAAACTAAAAACACTAAAGGGTTTCATAAAGCCATCTCTGATGGTTTTGATGGACTGAAAATAAAAGTTAAAAGTGTTGTGGACACCAAGATAAGTGAACTACAGAAACAAGTCAAGACAATGCTACAAAGTGAACCTCCTAGTGGAAAAAAATCAGTCATGTCAACGGCTTCATCTCCAATCATAGTCCGCAAATGTGCCAAGGTCGGTAAAAAGAAGAAATAATTATGGTTTTCTGATTTTCCTTTGTTATGTTTAACTACGTACTGCTATGTTGTCTAATCATGTATTGCTTAAATGTACCCTTAAACTTACTAGTTTAATATTTAAAGTTAGAAGGATTGTAAAATATATTAATGTAACTAGGGTAATTGATGACACTGGAATGTATAATATGAGATATGTGATGCATTTATATTTCTTATGGTATAACTATGTTAAAAGTATCTCTCGTCATTATTTTGCAGACAATAAAATATGATTTGCGAGATGAGTTTGAAGAGAATATTCCTCAGATTTCGGTGAAAGTGAATAAGGATGATTATGTGCAAACTACGTTGGCAATTCCATCTTTAGAAAAGAAGATTGATTTTGTTCAGACTGTGCTGGCGACTTCACCATTGGATGAGAAGGCTGATGTTGTTCACACTTTTCGGAGGAGTCCACCATTAGAGAATAATTAAGGGTGACTCTGTTCAATCCATGTCGAAATGGACTTTTTACATAACAACTTTACCTTCAAACTTTAGCAAACAACTATACTTAAAATCTATATAATAAGTGTGTAAAACTAAATTATTAGAAAAATTTGCAAATTAACTTTATCTTAAAACTTTAACAAACAACTATACTTAAGATCTATACAATAAGTGAGTGAAAACTAAATTTATGAGAAAACTTGATAATTAACTATTTAATCGTATTGAAATATTTTATTAAACAAATATACTTAAGATCTAAATAATAACCATGCTAAACTAAATCTACCAAACAACTCTCAACAACACAAATATACATGAAACAATCTACGTAATGAGAAATTACTAAGAATTTGAGAAAAATGAATGAGAAAACTAAGAATTTTCTCATTACTACAAGATAACTTTTCTCAATAACTTTACCCAATAATTCTACCAAACAAAATCTACGTAACAGCTTGCAAAAACAGTTTTTCAAAAAACTTTATCAAACAAATATATATATTAAACTATATATATATATATTTTATATATAATAAATGTGCGAAACTATCTGTATTATACTCTACTAAATAACTTTTTCAAAGAACTTTAGCAAAGACTACATCTTTAAATAGCTTTTCAAGAGAATTATGCGCAAAACATTATAAAGTTTAAGAAACTATGCACAATACCTAATTCTCCGTAGAACTGACAAATCGTTTTTTAATGGAGTTTGGTTTGATAAACACTTATATATACGTAACTAACAATATAGTTCATATAGGTTTGGGAAATTAATTTAGAGTTTTATTATTAAAAATTATTCTAGAATAGTCTGTCATATTCTTCAGCATTTATCTTCAAATTTTATCATACGCAATAGAAAAATAAAAATTCAAAAAAAATCTCTAACGTGGGCTAGATAGAGTTGTGAACGTGGCTTTAATTTGTTTTTATGTTAAATCATATAATTAGATAAACATAAGGATAATTTTGTCTTTTGTTAGTCTACATCTTCAATTCTAGAAGATATGACCTAGATTAATAATTTCGGTTTGTTTTCACATTTGTTTCATATTTTCCCCACAAAACTAGTAGATTTGGGTTCGAGTTTTCGGTTTTTGAAAATGATATCCATTCAGGTAAATCTAATATTTTAGATTGGGTTTTGTCGGATTCAAGTTGGTTCGGGTGACAAATTTCTAAGAGGACATATAATTTTCTTAAAGTATATTTCATATTTTAGAAGATAGAAACATACATCACATAACATTCAAGCATGATGATGATCATCATCAGTCATTATTATTCTACACGGTACTGACGAAGACAAGACCCACCTTAACTAGTAATTAATCATGATTAACATTTCCTTAACAGTTTGGGGAAGCTATCTTGCAACTGTTGGAGACTTTCCTGGCGTTAGGGGAGCTAACGTATTGGCGGAGGAGAGGGTTCCTCATGTACCCACAAAGGCATGGCTGCTGCTCTCTCAGCTTTGCGCAACAGGCCTCCGATGGCGGCGAAGATGACGTCATCGCGGCCGCACGTGAAGCCAGCTGCATCGGCGAGCACGTCACCCCTTCTGCCACCGGGATTTTGGCCACCGTCAAAAGGAGAATCGCCGCCGCTAGAGCTAAAACGGAAACCCACATCACCTTCACCAATTTTCTTCTTCGTTGATTCTCTTTTTGTATTTTTGTTTGTGTTTGTTCTGTGTTCTGTGTTCAGTATGTGTTGGTGAACCCTTGTATTCACCATCCTTACTCTAATGCAATCATTATGCCATGTCATCTAATACTTAAATAAAAATTAAAAATTAAATAAACAAATAAAACTAATTAAGAAAACCTTTTAATCAATTAGATCTACATGTAGAAATTACAAAACCATTCAGAAAAAAAAGGAGAAATAGAAAAAAGAAGTTTGATCCAGATCAATTAGATCTACTCGTCAATTGTCATTATAATTAACTATTTAAGAATTCAAATGACTATGTAACCAAACTAAAGATGATCTTCCTCATAAATACATGTAGGAAAAAACATGCAAATACCTTGACAAACAATAAAGTAGAGGAATTCATCCTAGGTACACGAAGTATGCGACAATACATGGCGACACATCCGAAGTTTAAAAATGTATCCCTAACTATACAAACTATATGTATCGCATGGCCAGATATACGAACTATATGTAGTCATGTGGCCAACATCACGAACATTTTGTTCCGGTACACTTTTCGCCGGAATCCGGTATTGACCAG